GACATTTGGGTGGTGACTGTACCTATTCGCAGCAGCAAAATAATCTTTGCGTTAATCAGGTTGGAAAATATTCCCTTACCTTTTCAACTGAGGTTCGTCAGGAGAAATAATGATTCAAGACTGAAGGTGTTTGGTTGCGAAATAAAGATCAATGACCTCTATGCCGCTCTGGCCCTGTGTACCCCTTCCTGACTGGGGTATTGGATGAACAAACTGTTCACTTTAACGGACGTCGTGGGGCCTTCACTCAACTGTGCGACGGGGCCCTCTGAATCGGGTGGGGTCGTCTATAGTGTAATCTACAGCTTCCCTGACTGAGATGTTTTCATGAGTTTCCGCTGACTCGAAAACTTTCTGATTCCTCAACTGAATGGACTACTGTATAGTCAGCAGCTTCAAATCTTTGCTTATGGCTTCATTCCGCACGAATCATGGAGCACTCACCAGCATCCGAAGAATCTTATTCTGAAATCTTTCCAGTGTGGAAAGATTTGACGGGGTGCGTCTGCGCCTGAAGCATACATAATGACAGGCTTGAACATCGTGTTGTATAATAACATCTCAGTTCTAAGGTTGAGCTTTGACTGTGTTGACCAGAGGATAGAGTCTAGCTATCCTCGACTGAACCTTACTCTTGATGTTGTCAATGTGACTTGCCCAGGTGAGTCGGCGATCTATCCTTGACTCGCGGTTGCCATTTGATCTTCCTGCCTGAGATCGTGATCCTTGTGTCTGGAGAAACGTTACGTCTCCCCAAATCTATCTCCTGAGTTTCATCTGGGTGCACCCGAATCTTCCAGTCGAGGTACCAGCGTTCGAGGTCGTCCAATGCACGTTGCATGTAGACGACCGCCAACGCCCGGAAGAAGCGAGGAGAGCCGTATTATCGGCATAACGGACCTATTCTTCCGAGAGATAACTATTTATAGATCATTCGAGTGCTTTCACCCACCCCTCTTCCCTCTCTCCGCTTCACTGGTTTAGTGGGAGCTGACCGTTTGGAGGGAGTTGGCTGTTTTCCGCTTGATTTATAGGTTTCCATGTGTTGTGTATCTCTGCGCTAGCTTGGCTGAATGCGTTGTTGGACAACATATATGCGGCTTCTTTGAAATTTCTCTTAAACCAGTGTTTCTCCCTGTGGATGATATCAGCTTGGGAACACTTGATTTTATGTTGATGAGCCCAAAGATGCTTTGCTATTTACGATTTGCTGGTTTCTCCTCGCTGTGTGTGTTTCTTGTGCTCGACAATGCGGACTTTCAGTTGCCTCTTAGTTTCACCGATATATGATTTTCCGCACTCACAGGGTATCCGGTAAATGCAATTCTTGGAACCGCAGTTCGCGTTTAGTGGCCAGGTTTTCGTGAAGCTGTGTTTCTAGATCTGAAACAGATTCTGATGTTGTATTTGGACCCAATTCTTTTTAACCTTTCTGATAATCCTCTGATATAGGGAAGTGCAAGTACTGGTTGTGATGGTTTCTCTTCCTTGCGAGGCTCTTGCTGTCTTTTAACCGAAGTCTGTTCCACTATCACTTTGGAGTAACCATTCCGTTGAAAATTACTTTTTAATAATGCCTAGTTCCTTCTCGAGACCTTCCTTTGTATTTCAGAGCCCGAAAGCAAAGTCTATTAGAGTCTTGATGATCCCTCTTTCAGTCGATTGATGGTGGTTGGATTCGTTGTTCAGATACTGTCCCATTGCGTCTAAGAATGGCAATTCGTTGTGGACTCCCTTCCCCACTGTAGAGTTTGAAACCACTCCATAAATATGTTGGCTATGACTGGTGAAAGTGGCGATCCCATTGGCAGTCCCTCATCTTGTGTAAAGAATTCGTCCTTCAGTTGGGAAAAGCAATTTCGTACACAGCAGCCTAGCAAGTAACTCAGCTTGAAATCTTTCAATTTTTATTTCTTTTCAATTGTTCAATTTTCAATTGTTGCTTGTATTTTATTCTATAGTGATTTCATTACAGGTTTTTTTTGCTTAATATAATTGTCATTTTCATTTTCAAAAACCGTTTACGTCCAGTTCTTCCGTCATCCCATGCATCGTTTGTGATAAGTCAGTCGGAACGAAATTTCGCAAATCAACATTGAACAGTTCGTTCATCAACACTATAATTGCCAAATCGCTAATCGACATCATATAGTAATAAGTTGAGAAGAAGCAAAAAATTGAAATTTGGAACAATGTACAGCATCGATGTATAGTGTATAAAATTCTCTATCGATCAGTATATACAACGACACAGTATTAGTATGACTATTTATTGAGATATGGAGCTACAAAAAGACATGATTGAAACGGACAAAACATTTGAAACAACCTACGTTATTATATGAAGCACAAATGAAGTAGAATTTGATCGATGTGAATACGATTGATAAAGCTTTTGTATGAAGTTTCTCAACTACTCGAATACTTCTTAGCGCAGTTCTGTCATCAATATTGCAACTTTTTTATTATCACTTGCAAAGTGGTCACGTAAACATGAAGTTGCTTGAAAATTCCGTTCCTAAAATAGTCTCATAAACAGTAGTACCATAAGCGCGTGTGCAAATCAAATCTCACAATCAAGGAAATAATAGTGATAAAACATCAAATTTATTGAATTCATATCATTACTTCAAAAAAAAAAATCATGAATGTTAAAAGTTCGGATTTCCTGAAGTCTGAAATGGTGTTAACAAATTAAAAATTCATGGAAGGACAAATGAAACAATATTGAGTTGATTGTTAAAATTATTGAAAATACTTTATTGAACAATAAGTGAAATGTCAATTATATACGAATGATACAGGGTGGCCCATTAGTGTGAGGAAGTATCTCGCTTATAATGAGGAGTATGATAAAAATGTTTCGAATAAAAGTTATATGGTTTACTTTGTTACTTATTTGAAACATATTTTGGAATGTACAGAATGTTCCTTTGAAGCGGAGCAATATAAATCACCATTTATTCAACTGGTCCCCCCTGTAAATTTTTTTACCGTTGAACTGGGCAAAATGTTTTTCATGAGGAGGTATTTTCTTCTGAAAATTTTGCGGCTCTGTCAAGTTATTGGTGAAATGAAAAAAACTTCGGCAACACAGATCACGCAGAGAACTGCAACACCAATAGTGAGTTGAAATGTTGGTATGGACCGGGAGTTACGTTTTTCAAACAGAAGATTTTATACAGAGCCATTAACTTGACAAACTTCGAATATCAAAAACTTGAAACACCCAGTATGTTATGTCACCATTTTTAGAACTATTCCATCCCTACTAATTTGATTAAGATGAAACTGACACTTTGATCATTGAATTGTTCCCGATGATAGTACATTTTTTACACATTCAATCGTCTTCGTATCTGTTACAGTTCAGTATATAGCAATGTTACCACATGATGAAAGAAACGGCCTGTATACGGAAATCTGTTAGTCCTTGAATTTTGTAAATATTGAAGTGATAAACACGCCGTTTTAGTTGAAATGAAATGAAATTGTAGGAATGAAGTAGTTCTTCAAAATGCTGGAAAAACCTACTGTCTGCAACATTTTCGAAAAAAAGAAATACCCCTTTATGTAAAACATTTTGCTCAGTTCAACCGTGAATAAATTTAAATGGGGGTCCATTCAAAAAATGATGATTTGTTTTGCCCCGCTTTGAAGGAATACTCTGTATGTTTCAAAATATTTTTAAAATGAGCAACAAAGCAAACCCTATAACTTTTATCTGAAAAATTGCGTCATTATAGGCGAGATACTATACTTCCTCACATTAATGGTTCACCCTGAATACGATTATTAACTCATTTTCATTTGAAGTCATGATAATTTGTTTTCTTCACAAATCAGCGTTCTCCTTCGGTATATCACCTTGGGCACTTCTACGACATACCGGTTTTGGTTTTCCCTCCTGGTGATGACTGATTTCATTAATTCGGAATGGAAAGTATCGAATTTATTGGAACTACTCTTTTTCCACCTTAGGGCTGATCCTAGCCGATGAACCAGATATATTTTTTCACAATCATCAAAGTAACACAATATTCGTCGTAAAGTTTTTGGCTCCGGGTGGAATGAATATCGTTTGTGAAACAGAAAAATTGATGAAATGCCGTAGCTGACAATGATTTCATAAAGCTCATTAGATGCCTTTCTTCTGAACTGCTGCTTGGAAGATTGTAAATAGATAATGTGAAAATCAATTCAATTTGAAAATAAAATATCCGCCAACGATAGATTGATGAAAATGCATAAGACGCTGATTTATAAGCGCCATTGAACCGTTCATTTCGTATTCCATCAAACTTCCACGATTGTGGAATAATGCGACCCCAGTTCTGATATTGAATCAAGGGTATTAGAATTCTTGAGATGTTGGCGAAGAAATATTTGACATAAAACAATTACTTCATTCTGAAGGATACTGACAAGTTGAGAATATTTCCAACTCTGATGGAGTTAAGGAGATAATAAACAACGACAACTTTCTAGAATTCTTATATGTATATTCAAAAACACACATCGTATGATGTGATCCCTATTGAAAATGCAACCTTGTGGTATGGTAGGTAGGGTCATTAAATGAGTTGGTCTATTGAACCCTTCACTACAACTCGCAAGGGTTCATTGTGGCCCACTTCAAACTCTGTCAAACGAGTCCAGTTTTTTCAAGAAGTCGATGAGCTCATTTGGTGAGTGATCTTCCAAGTCGAATGATATCAGAGAAACTTCGACAAACAGAAAATGATGACAGAAGTAAAAATATGTCAAACTCTGCAAATATTGCTTCCACAAAGTATTTGCTCAACAGTTTCATCTTGTAAACAGAAACAGCTCACACCATCATCTGACAAGTTTCTGCATATGATGATGACTGTGAGACAGACATGGACCAATTCGAAACCAGAGCCAAATCTATGTATTGGCTTTGATACGTAGATGACGTCTTTGTTATATATTCTCATGGATTCGAAAGTCTTCATACATTCCTGAACCACATCAACTCTTTATACTCCGACCTAAAATTCATGATGTAAGTCGAAAATAACTCACTTCGATTCCTGGACGTTTCCGTCACAAGGTCCAACACTGTTTTCTTATATACCGTTTACCGGAAGCCAACCCATACCAACCGCTACTTTGATGACAAGTCCCTCATCATGCTGCCTGAATTTTGTTTTGAATCTCTCTCTTATACACATCTATCAGACTCATTGACAACCCAATAGATCCAAGAACTAGCCAAACACAAATCCGTCCTTCGCTGAAACGACTATCTCGACTCTAAAGATCTACCCATCTTCAACAAAGCCATACCCTACATATCAACAAAATTAAAATTTTTTTACGAACACCTAAGTACACGATACTCAATATACGAAATACCATGTTTCACCCACTTCGGAACTTGCATTAGCCAGATCAACAGAATCATAGCTTGGTATCTGTAAATCAGATCTAGAATCATCCAAAATCTTCAAGTCTGTAAAATCCGCGAAACTATTTGAATTGAAAAACATCCAAGTAGACTCAACAGATAAGATTTCTTGCCTCTCCACGACCCGCTTTTCCACGATGTCTGCTGCAGTAGCAAACGAAACACCCGTGGGTTGGGCTACCTATCGAGCGCGTCCTCAGGTGGCGGATAGGGGAACGGCCGGGGGACTGGAGGTCCTGTCCGGGAAGCCAATGTGGCCTTACGGACGGGGTCGCCGGACTCCTGGTCAGTGGCAGGAATAAGTAGGGTGAGGGGAACTAAAAACCCCCAAAAGCCTTTGCCACCGTGGACCAGCCTACCCAAGATAAGGTGTAAGGAATCGTGCCGACAGCTGAATAATCGCAGGGTGATATGCGGTCACGAACGATTCCCTTGGAGAACTGGGTGAAACCTCATTGTAATCAGCCTACCTCTGGTGATGCAGGGCTCTGCCAGAGGTGACCAACTCTTCTCTTGCTACTCGTGGGAACACACATGAATGAAACAACAACAAAAACCAATCCCGAGGCTGGACAGAAGTGCTCACCTCAATCTAAGGCTGTGTGGGGATGAACAGAAATATCCACCCCAATCTACCTCTTGGAATGAAACTGGACATAACAGATCACCTTCAATAGAAAGGGCACTACCTGTGGCGGGCGCCAAGAGCTCTGCCTTGAATAAAGGCAAGGAACCGGCTCCCCCTGCAGGAAAGCTCCCTCACTTCTGCACCTCCACGGAAGGAACCCCAAGAAGGTGGAAGAAGCCGTGCAATAACAGTAATATCGCTGCATTTTCCCAAACCTTCGCGGATACCACCGTGACACTCCTCAAAGTTGCCAAAGAGAGTGTGTGTTCTGCGAGTCCTGGCCTACACCTGCCAATATAAAGGATATGTCTCTGAGTGACCTGTTCACCTTCCTGGAAAGGACAGGATGGACGATGACCTAGGAGGACAACTCCTCTGGAGAATGTACAATGGGTCACATGTGGTCTAAGTGCTGTGAGTCTACACTCACCCTTTCTTCTCTACAGATACCAGAGAGATGCAGCAAACGAAACATTTGGTACCGCAGCTTCCAGGTGTACCAGTTTGGATTGTGTTCTCCCAAATATTAAAGTGAAGCCATGACATATTCCGCTATGATGAAAGCAACGTTCTTTCGTTTTCTTGGTAGGCAACATTGATAACCTCTTGATCCTCCACCTAGTGAGCATCATGACTCTTCGCAGTAATGTCAGCCATGTAATGCTGCAGAATCGATCTATCTTCAACTAGATAAATTATCATCCCATCAAAATATCTGGTCAAAGGAGGATTTGAACTCACTATCTCTGAATCATAAGTTGGGCTAATTTATTGCTGAGTTTCTATGTTATTTTCAAGATAACGGATAGGAGCGCAGATGGAATTTTTTGAAAGGTGTTACTTTTGACATACTTTGAGACTTAAGTGAAAAAGCATCTGGCATATGTAAGATGCGTGAGATGTTACATTTGTAATGAACATTTCAAAAACATTTGCTTTCGTAGTACAAATGTAAGCAAACGAAACATTTGGTACCGCAGCTTCCAGGTCTACCAGTTTGGATTGTGTTCTCCCAAATATTAAAGTGAAGCCATGACATATTCCGCTATAATGAAAGCAACGTTCTTTCGTTTTCTTGGTAGGCAATATTGATAACCTCATGATCCTCCACCTAGTGAGCATCATGACTCTTCGCAGTACTGTCAGCCATGTAATGCTGCAGAATCGATCTATCTTCAACTAGATAAATTATCATCTCATCAAAATATCTGGCCAAAGGAGGATTTGAACTCACTATCTCTGGATCAAAAGTTGGGTTAATTTATTGCTGAGTTTCTGTGTTAGTTTCAAGATGACGGGTAGGAGCGCAGATGGAATTTTTTTGGAATGCATTACTCTTGACATACTTTGAGACTAAGGGGGAAAAGCATCTGGCATGTATAAGATATGTGAGATGTTACATTTGTAATGAACATTTCGAAAACATTTGCTTTCGTAGCACAAATGTACTGAAAATTGTCCGAATGACAAGTTTGGTTTTGTGCAAATGCTCTATAAATAATTCAATTATCTATATGGTAAGTTGACATTTGAGTTGAACAGTCAATCGCTGACTTATTTAAATTTTTTGAAAGCATTCAAGTTCCGTATACTTTATTGATAATTCGACTTATGACACCTATGACACTACGGAATTCTTTTCAAAAATTTCTCAAAAATCAAACAACAAATAGACAAATAGTGGAAATATTAGAGACTAGTCAGAGCATTCAATCCTCACATTTCAAAATGCAACATTGAACATCGATTTCTTTCTCTTAGACTATCTTCCTGGATGGTCGCAGTGAACAAGTGATGAATAGTGTTACTGTTAAAGTGTAGTTATTCTACAGAACTGATGATATATCTGATAGAATTGAAGCGTTTTATTCAAAATTTGAAGGAGATTTCGGTGTCAGGCCATATATGGATATGTTACTCAACGTAGTCTTCCAAACATTGATTTCGTATATTATAGATCAACCCAAAACACCCTAGATTTTCAAAGACTGTGTGTGATCCTTATTTGACTCAATGAAATTTGTTCAAAAATTATATCATTCTGTAGTATTTTGTTTTAGCATCGTTGTTATCGTAGAATACTGCTATGTTGTAATTTGAAAAGAAAATTCACCACGACCACCCAAACTAGGCACACACTGCAAAAAAAACATGCATTCTACTCACTTCGTCGGTATCGGTACCAAAAAACAAAAGATCGAACGGTACAGCAGCCACTAGATCTATGAGAAACCATCCTTTTAGATAGTGGACCGCTATCCTTACCGGATCCGAAACAATTTCGTCATTTCCGGCTACGTAGGTTGTGCGAAAATTTATCAAGATGTCCACTATGAAGGTGACGTCAACTGAAAAACAAGGATAATCAATTAAATATCCCGAAAATGATAATAATAATAATAATACATTTATTTTCCCAAAGATGACAAAACATATAGGAATAGTCACTTATAATCTGAAGAATAAAAAATTCATTCAATGTATAGAAAGCATTGTCGAGTAAATATGTTCTCAAGCAAGTTTTGAAAATAGAAATATTGGCGGAAATAACTATTTCTTTAGGCAGTTATCGAAGATCCTCAGAATCAAATATTCAGAATATTTCGAAGATACAACATATTTACAGTAGGGAATGTGGAAATCAGCGCAATTCCTCGTATTATAACTATGGATTCTAGTAGTCTAATTTTTATTTGTGTATACGCATAGGTATACCTTTCTGAAATTTAAATACTTGTCATTGTTAAAATATTTGATTCTTTAAAAATCGGTTTACAGGATGCTTGGCTTGGGGTACCGCAAATCATTTTTAAAATGCGTTTTTGTGCAATAAATACGTCTAATTGAGCGATGTTTCGTGATCAATAAGCTGATTTACTTTATCGGAGTAGTACAAGTTAGTGTCATCTGCATATGTATGAATGTTGAATAAGTTAAGGACTTTGGAGAAGTCAGATATCAATATATCTTGAACGATTCACGAAAATTCTTAGCCCCCATCGAATATTGTACATCAAAAGAAATACATTCCTAACATCACAAAGAAAGCCAAATCAACCAAGTCGATGCTTTTTCTTTCTAATATTCACTATGAAATGGGTTCGGAAGTATTATCAATTTTAATAATGAATTCATTCAAGAAATGAAAGATATAGTTCGTCTGGGCTTGAATGACCTCTTCAGATCTTCAATAAATGAAGTGTAATTTAAATACGTTCTGATGAATTTTCATCCAGTGTTAGCCATACTCATCACAAAAAATGTTCCATACCGAAAGTTATATAACACTTCCCAAATTTCATATAAAATACGGTAACGGATATACATGTGCGTCTAATATCCACTAAGCTCGTATACCCTACGAATTTCCCTGTTTTTTTGTAAGGCCGTTAAGGGTGTAATGAGCTGCCCTTAACGTGTTCGTCAAATAGGAAGTGCCCTCATTTCCATTGTGTACTCGACAAGTTACGATCCGTTTCCCCTGTTTTATTTTATAATGAAATTCTTACTCCTCATTTGGAAGCTCTCTGGTGAACAGAAGTGATGATCTCTGGATTGGACGTAATTATAGTGAGGTTGTGTGAAAAATGCTGCTTGGTAGAAGTATAGAAAGGCAACTAGTTCTACATGCTTCATATTCAACATACAATGCGGATTAATGTGTCCACACATACGGCGGTATCCAAAATGGTGCTGATGTGGTTATAAGACAAGTGTCTTGTTCCTGAACTTCGAAGTACACATTGATATATTAAGTTTTGTACTGTGACATCTGTTTCAATGCCACAATGAATGCTTGGAGCTGATGACTGAATGGTGATTTTTGTGCTATTCAGTGTTGATGTGAAAGTAGTTGCTTCGAAGGCTTTTTCTCCTCTAGATTGTATCTGGAAGAAACTTCTGTTCACGATCTACATATCTTTACAAAAAGTTTCTATTGCAGTTATTTTTTCCTTCCTTTCTTTGGAAGTTTCCACATTTCTTGTTAATTTATGTGTGGAAGTAGGTAGCCAAAAAGATTTTCGTCCCTAAAAGCATTAATCTTGCCTAACACATGAATTGAAAGTCTCGGGCCTAAGAAAGAAAACGCGTTTTCTGGTTCAAAATTGGCTGTATTCATCAAAGGAATCTCCATCAAGAGCCACATAATTATTCCAGGGCCGCTTTGATATTTCAATAACAGTTTTGTAGAACGATTTATCTTCTGCCTCAAAACAGGCTAGAGTTTTAGCAATAACCTCTTCATTCTAGAGAAATTTTTTACTGGTGATCTTTTTTTGAGGTCTGCGAACAATTAGTAATCGCTGGGAGCTGAATCTGGCGAATACGGTGGATATGAAAGCGATTCGAAGTTTAATTCATGTAGTTTCACTATTGTTTTGAGTGACTTGCAACACAGTGTGTTGATGGAACAATTTGTTTTTGCTGCATGCGGTCGTTTTTTTGCAATTTCGACCTTAAATTGCTTCAATTACTCTATATAATATTTACCATTGATGGTATCTCTCTTCTCAATATAGTCGATGGATAATACACCACGAACATTCCAAAATACCGAGATCATAACTTTTCCACCCGCTTGTTGTGCTTTCGGGCACTTTGGGACGAGGTTCGCCATTTACTCTCCACTCAGATGACGAACGTGGACTGATGTATCCATGTTTCATCTATTGTCACACATCGCGCAAAAATTCCGCTCCGTTATGTTTGAACATTACCAAACACTGTTCAGTACCATCAAGACGTTCTTGTTTTTAATCAACAGTGAGCTCGCACGCCACCCACTTTGAAAAGCGCTTTCTCATAGTCAAATGCTCATGCAATATTAAGCTAACGCGGTTCTTTTGGTAGCTTCACAATGTCAGCTAACTCACGCAACTTCACTGTTCGAACATTCAAAACGATTTTGTGGATTTTTTCTGGTGTTACTGCCTCGTTTGGACAACCACTGCGTTCTGAATCATCGGTGTTTCTACTACCACGTTTGAAGTCAGCAAACCAACGTTTAATTGGTATTTTAGGTGGATCGGATTCCTTATAACAATTTCTTGAACGGCATTTTTTCCAATCAAGAAGCAGTGTAAAGTTGAAACACGAAATTGTTTTTGATCCATTGTTTAGAAAACAACAGAAGTGGTGTCACTCTTAGCACAATAACTTACAAAGTTATGAGTAGAATATCATGAAATGTCAACAGAGGTTAGTACTAACTGAAAAAGCGGTGAATGCAATGACACTAGCACCATCTATGTGTTAGACCCCGGACCTTCCAGCCCAGGTAGTAATATAACCTTCTCAATTTGAATTAAGTTTGAAATATCTACAAACCATCAAAGATACAATAAAATGGCACAGGGTTTTCAAATGAAAACTCCACACCCTGGACATTCCTTGAATGGATAGAAATTTGAAACTGAAGGTTTTCAGGGACACATTTCTACGCCAACGCAACATTTGTAGCTCCACTTTCCTAACGTCCATATCTCCTACCTCATCTTTCCCAAGTCTCATACTATTTGAAAATTATCATCAAGTGGAATATCATCTTAAAATTCCTATTGTGTAATTTTATTGCAGATAAAACCCGAATATTCCTGAAACGGCCTGAATGTGATAGGACTGTAGCATGTTGGGTTGACGTTGGTGATTTGCTCGACACACAGGCGATCGATTTTCACTTTCTATTGTCCAACACGTGTTAGGAATCATACGTTAAAAGCTAAAAGCTCGTTAGTCCTTAGCTTGCCTTAGTTTCGACTTTTGAGAGTTCTTGTTCGTAGGGGGGCGACAGCTGGTTAACGGAGAAACAGACAGACTAAAAATAAAAAATGTCCGAGACCTGCAGTTGAAGGTCGTTTGGGAGACACAACAATTAAGATAAAATAAATTGAAATCATGTGGTTACCGAAATTAGATAAAATACACTCAAAGCGTATTGTAATATACTCAAAACTTATTCCATGTTGAGTTATTGATAATAAGAAACTGAGCAAAAACCATAGCAATGTTCTTTTTAAATGGTGTTCTTTTAAAACTGTAAATAATTTCCGTTGCAACGTTAGTTTAAAACGCCTTGTCAACTTGTTTTGTATGGTACAACATTAGTTGTCAGGTCAGTATTTTGATTTTAGTTTGAAGTTCGTTAACTTCAAGTCTGACAAATGGTTACATTAATGGAAATGCCAAAAATAACAGTTTTACAAATGATTGGTTACGGAGATGAAACCAGAACACAACAGGAAGCAGCTCGCCTATTTTATAAGAAATTTCCTAATTTACCGCCGATATCTCAAGGAACAATGAGCAAAATAGAGAAGCAGTTTCAGCAGCTGCCAATGCAATGAGTGATGAACTCAAATTAGATGCTTGAGATTGAGGAAAACCTACATACATCGAGTAGACAGGCATCCACTATAATACATTTTAATAATAATAATAATAGATTCATTTTCTCAAAGATAATAAAACATATAGAGATAGTCTAAAGAATAATGTATAAGAAGCATTGTCGAGTAAATATATTCTCAAGCGATTTTTGAAAATAGAAATATTGGCGGAACTAACTATTTCATTAGGCAGTTTATTAAAAATACTCAGACTCAAATATTCAGAAGATTTCGAAGATACAACATATTTACAGTAGGGAATGTGGACATTAGCGCAATTTCTCGTATTTCAACTATGGACTTGTTGGATTCTAATAAACTTATTTTTATTTGTGTATACGTATACAAACATTTTTAAAATTGAAATACTTGTCATTGTTGAAACTTTTGATTCTTTAAAAATCGGTCTACAGGATGCTGTATCGCAAATAATTTTTAAAATGCGATTTTGTGAAATAAATACGTCTGGTGCTCGAGTGGAAAAACCCCAGAAACATATGCCATTTCGAAATCGGGAGGCTACTTGTGCATGATATAATACGAAATAATTGTTCACGTAACAAAATGTTCTTAAGATTTCGGAACATAAAACATAATGAGTTCAATTCTAAGATCCAGTTGGTACAATGTTCTTTCCAGTTTAAATCAGAGTCTATAGTAATTCCAAGAAATTTAACTAATAAGGTAGGCTCAATCAAGATTTCATCAGTTTTTATTGCAACAGTTTCACATTGTTTTTGGTATTTGTAAAATCGAATTATATTTGTCTCAAATATTTCTATTGAAATAGAGTGACTTCTGATCTCACCATGAAATGATGTTCCCAACCGCAGTTGTACACTTTTGTTTGAAGGCATTTTCACATTTGTCACAGACAAATATATTGGTGTCATCTGCATATCTAATAAAGCTGGCAGAAGATTCGATATTATCCATGTCATTCGTGTAGAATAAAAGTGGCC